ACGACAACGATGACGACGTCGTCGACGACGAAGCGGATGGCGGCGGAGGAAGCAACCACAACGACGACAACGAAGACGACGACGACAAGGACAAAGAGGCCAACAACGACAACGACGACAGGGAAACGTCAAAGGTTTCGCTCGTATGCACTTTGCGATCGACTTGTTACAGCAATGAGAGTCGATAGTATGCTCGTTCATGTTTTGCATACCATCATACATTATCGGGCAAAAAGACTAACGCTAATCTCTAACTTCGTAGTCGTTTTTATTCTTCGTTTGAAAAACTGTCGATTAAGAATCTACTATAAATAGATCTACACAAATTTCATTGTGATCTTATCGCAAAGTACATAATTCATGATAAGTAAAAATCAATTCGATCGAACATCAAGAAAATGCGATCGATATTCGTTACGGAAGCAACGGAAGCATCGTGATAGAATCAGAGAGTATATCGCCATGACATAAATAAATAATAAGAAAGATATGAAGGCGAAATGATATGAAAAATCAAAGCGCCTTAAATTCCATGGATTTTCATTTAGTTACCGAATCTTTTAAGCAAGAAAAATATGTTTAATAATAATTCGAGTGATATTATTTTTACGATGTTTTAATATACATCTTTAACCACCGTTTGAAATAAAATAAAAATAAGATTTTGTTATCTGCGTATTCCTAATTCATTCTCTTGTAACGTTTGAAATACGATTTAATTTTAAATACGACACATTGCAATGAAATTAGCTAGGAAAATATAGTTTGGAAAATGAACGAGACATCATGAAATTGCTCTATTAAGAACAAGCACGCGAAGCACGTTTGTATTTGAGCCACAATTTCTCAGCTGTTGTAAACCTCGCACATTAACTCTTGAGGAGATGACGAAAATCAGGCGTAAACTGACATATGCTTGTAAGCTCCGAGTAGTGTACATTGTTTCCACAACCTCTGGACTAGTCCCAAAGCATTAGTCTAATGTTACAATCGCCGAAGATGTCGTAGCACTTGTTAAGAAACACGCTTATACAACATTGTGAATTTTGGAATGTTTTCGATCGAAAATAATTTAACATTTAATATTAATGAATACTCGAATAAGACAGATATCGCATTAATAGTTAAATTATTCTATAGTAACAATCAGATTGACGCTGTATAATTAATTAATCGCAATATTATTTCCGATTTACCTATGAATGAATATCTCTGGTAATTTGATGTAAAATCAGTCGCATTGAGGAAAGGTATTGCATTATAAATCAGGAGATTACATTATAAATGTAGATAGGATAATCTGAATTGTTTAGAATCACTCGCGAATTAATCTATCATAATAATAGACTTCATATCACATTCCCATATATATTCAAGTATAAATTCAGTAATATGTTAGTGTAAAAAGATATATTAAGTAATAACGATTTTCCATAAATAAGGATAACAATCGAGAACACAGACTCATATAAATAAAAAATGTCCCCTCGCCCCATTAATTTAGACAATTATCCATTATTGACACACTTTGAAAAAAATCCATGTTGTTGAACGTTGCAAATAATCGATCGATAATTATTCACGTCGACAATTATTCACATGAATAATATCAACAATATGCAGTTGAGTCAGTGTCAGTCAAATATGTCAAGAAAAATGTTATTTCAACTATTGCTTCTCTAGATCGGATATCATATCGTTTCAATGTAAAATGAGCAAAAACATGCATATTTTATAGATGCACTTTCGTTTACTATGTGTCAAATTTCTCTTATCATATGTGTATCATGAAGAATCATAATTTTCTAAAATTTTACTAAATATGAAATCACAATAATTATTTAATATCTCCGAAAAATATATGTGTCTCTTGTGGTTTACAAAATTTGCTTCAAAAAAATTACTTTTAAAGTCTTTTAAATAAACATCACATAACAACACATCACAAAATTTAAGATGACTTTTGAACGTGTATTTAAATGAAGTATATTATTTAAATACTCGCGTACGCTTAAATTGAGTTAATTTATTTCAATACATCAGACAAGATCTCTATTTAATATTCACAAAAGAAAGAGAAATGCAAAAATAAGAACCTTACCCACGCGTACATCTTCCAATTATGTAGGATATAAATAGATAATTTACAAACTTCGTGAATGCGTAGACAATATACTACACAAGTAACTTAATACTCTCTTAATACAAGTAACTTTGAAAAGGAAACACAGATTCCATGCGTAAACTCCATGCGCTAGAAAATCTGGTGAGAGAATATTGATTACCAACCCCATTTTGATACAATTTAGTAATAATAACCCATCCAAAACATGATAACAAAAGTGTAAGTTCAACAAAAGTTAATTTATGAATTCATATTACACTGGTAGCTTTTATCGTTCTAGAACGTCAACATGGGATTTCGCGGATCCTGCATTTCACTCGAAAAGTTACATGTACCGGCATTCTGCACGCCTGCGAAGTTTATAAAAGTTATTTGTCTACAGCCTGTAAATGGCTTGCAAAGAAAGAGCGAACTGTGGCGCGAAAAGCGAAGCGAGAAACGAACAGGATGGCGAGAAACATGCGAGATAGAAACACGACTTACGCAACAACGGCAAATAACGTTAATGAGTTCGCTCTTCGTATTCTTTTAGCTATACTTGAAAAAAACTCATTGCTGAAGAACTATTCGAACAAAAATGGCGACACATAATTGCAAAACAAAATCGCGTATTATGTATTTATGTATTATATAAATAATCCTACATATAATATATGATAATTATATCTCCACAATATTTTTTACATACAATTATATTATATTAATTTAATTATATTATAATAATTATTTATAAAATGATAATATAATTATCATCTCTTTAGTATATGTTATATATAGTAATGATATAATACCCTATGTATAATATGATATAATTATATCACCAAATATATTTTTATAAAACAATTATCTTTAAATGTACATATTTTAATTCGAAAAATTGCCACATATAAAAAAATTATGAGAAAATAGAATAAATTTTACTGAGATTACCGGCAACACCTTTAATTAACGCGAATGTAGAGGTAATGAAAGTGAATAGGATTAGCACGCGGGTCTCATTAAGCCGATTCGTTTAGATATCGCGAAAAAATCGACGTTAATACATGACCGTCATACATAAGTATTCTGCAAAATACGACCGCGAGCATCTCTGTTCGTTCATTTCGTAACGTGCTTCCTCTGCGTATTATTACGTGACGTATTGTACATAATTATTGCGTCAATGTAATAAAGTTTAATCGCATATTACAGAAGAGGTGGAAAAGAGGAGATTCAGATATATTCTATTCAGATTTCCTTTTAGCATTTTATAGTGCTTGGAATATATGAAAATAAATATTTTCTACCATCTGTTTTCAATTGTAATAAGAATATAGTCGAAGAAAATACGAGAAAATAATAATCTGTATATATAAAGCTGTCTGTAGGTATACATATTTTGACACATCAAAATGTGTCAATAAGTCGCATCATCCTTAATTTTTAAAATAAACTTGATAAAATTGTAAAAATATAAATGACACTACATAATATAAAGTACGTAATATAAAGATTGATATTAATTTCCATAAAGATATTAATTTTCATACATATTTTTCACATTCCTTTAAAGATATCTTACTTGCAGCAGAATCGCTTTCTAATTCAAGATTTCTCGTTATTCTTTTTTTTTAAGTGTTAAAAAGACATTTTATTTAAAAATGTTTTACATCACAGAAATATATAATGCAATATATTATATAAAGACTATGCATCATTTCAAATCACATATTAATGTAGATAATCTTTTAGCTTTTTTAGCTTTTATAAAACTAAATTTACAAAAACGTCATTACGTAATGCATGAAACTTGGCATTAAATTGACTTTTCGTATATATTTCTCTTTTTACACAAAAGGGCACTTTTTAGAAGTAATATATAGCGTAACGCGCTTTATAGCGTAAAATAAAAAATATGTTAGATTGTAAAATAATAAAAAAAATATAAAAATTTGAAATTTTTTAATTTTAGAAAGCATACTTTTTCGAAGTTTTTATAGTTGACATTTTTCGACAGTATTATCCGTCACAATAAAAAAGAACATTAAATTGTAAAAGTCACACAGTGTAATAATTTTTAAATCACTGTTGAAATTACCGCAACTGACATCAACTATTACAAAAAAAATTTGTTTACAAATAATATTTAATTGAACTTTGTAATATTGCTTCTTAGTTTCTCAGAAATAATGGATTATAACTATTTAAAAACAATATTTCGTGATGCAATTATGCTGTTAAGTAGATTTTCCATAAAAAAATGTTTTTTAAAGATGACAAAAAGATATTTTTCAACCTTTGATATTTCCATTGTAAATGTTTAATGAAAAATTTAATTATGAATTATTTTAATCTAAAACTAAAATGTCTCAGTAAATTGTATTCATTTAGATATAAACAAATACTTATTTTGCTTTTAAATTGTAAAATTGTTTTTAATTTTGTTTAATGTAATTTTAAGTCTATCGGCTTGATCGCTGAGAGAATATATATTACTGAATAATAATAATTAAAATGAAAGATGCATCTTCTAACGGACTGAAACTTTCTTAAAGAAAAATGTAGTCATCAAAGTCCATCAATCAGATTCCCGTTAATGATGGCATATCCTCATAAAAAAGCCGCTTTTCAACTTGTCAATAATGATATATCTCAATGATATGTTCAGCACACATCGCGAGAAAAACGCATGTCATATAAATCGGTAAATAATGACAGTAAAATAAACCTATAGAAGGAAATAATAGATATGCAACGGTTTAAAGTCGCGCTCTCTTGCGAAACGGGACTCGATCTCGACCGGATGTTGGATGTCATTGCCGCCATTGACATCCATCGTATAGAATTGTCAAATCGACGCTATTCGATCGCTATTATATACGTGTCTGTCACATACCTGGACTGGTCTGCCAAGACAGGCCGCCGATGAACATTTTCCTAGAAAAGAAAGACGATTCCATCAGGTTCGCCATCCAGCCGCGGATCATTTGGCGGAAGAGGAAGTGGACGCGGGGAGACTGCCAGCAGAGGGTAACTTCCGGTACTACTTTGCGACCCCCTGCGCAGTCTCCCACCCTCGGCAGCAGGTGTCACCACACATCAACCAACAATCGAACAACACCCGTTTCGTCTTTTCACGCGAACACGTTACGGTCACGACGCGCCCGAAGACCGGATCTTTTGATCGCGGTCAGAACGAATCTCCTCGGACCGGCACCTCCGCTTCATACATCCTTCTTTTCTTCGCATGCAATTTCTCTCACACATCAATCGATCCACTAATCCAACAACCAAATTTTGACTATTTTTTTTCTGTACTATAAGACTTCCGTCCATCTCGAATTTGTGCCGCCAGAAGATGTACCATTTATATATTTTATTCATCTTTCGAAATAAATTATCAAAAATAAATAAATATAAATAACGCGCGTGGAATAGATTTAAGCAACACGTAACATGTTAAACGAAAATTTAATAACTTAATTTATTTAATTTTGATAGTTGTTGGAAAATTTGAAAAATCATTTATTATTTATTAAAGCAAAGAATCGAATGCAAAGCTTAGAATTCTCGCATCTTTCTATAAATTTTTAAGTATAAAAAATAAGTTCTTAAATCTTGGAATATAAGAAAATCAGAAAATTGATGATCATAACAATTCATTAAAAATTCCTTTATCGAAAGAGCGTAACATGAATGTGTCGCTTATCACTATTTCAATGCGACTAATCATTTTATACGTGATCATCATAAAGACTCGATGAATAACACGTATAATTATCAACAAACAATTCGTGAAAACTGAGCAACGTGCATTTGGCAAGGTTTATGATAATTCTCGCGCTATAAGGAGAAATTTGGATGAAAAATTTCGCTATATATCAAGGTCATCAAACGATAAAAAAAAACGACTCTGGCTTCTTAGATAGGCGACGCGAACTGGTCCGTATAAATAAACTGACCGATCGGAAATGATCGCCACCGGCTGGCGTAATCGCCGGTCTCCGAGGAAGCAAATCGCACTTCCCGCATAAGTGGGGAAGTTCTCGGCAGTGACCATAATCGATCCACGTACGCGTCATTAATTAGCCGGCTTAAGTATCCGTCAGCGCGCGTCGATAAGGAAACGACCTCCCATCCTTTTCATTCATGATCCCCTCCCTCTTTCACCTCACGGACACGAGAACCCCCTTCTCCCCTTCTCTCTCCTGCTCGCTCTTCATCATCGTCGTCGTAAATAATCGCGTCTCGCATTATTACACGGCGAGATAACGCTCCCGCTTTGTGGACGTAATCACGTGGTGGTGCATTTGAACATCGATTTTCCGAGGCCGCGATATAGCCATCTTCCTCCCACGCATACTCTCCTCTGTTCCCCTACCTCTTCCTTTCCCCCGCCTTCTCCCTATAGCTCTATCGTCATCCAGCTATCTATCCAGATCTTCCGAATTGAAGAAATTAAAGTAGGCTGTACTGTTTTCTAGCTCGTAATCAACGCGCAAGTTAATCTGGAACTGATTATTACCTCACAGATTGTTTCGATGTGAGAGAATCATTCATCAAAACTTAACATTAATATCACTTAATATTATAATTTTCTTATAAAAGCAGTATCTCTTTTGATAAAAATTAATTATCAATTTCTGTTGTTGTGTAATTATTTTATGTTGATTATACATTTTTGCATTATGTCTCGACAAGATAAATGAATCAAGATAAATGAACCAAACTAAATTCCGATCATTAAATACTATTTAAGCAACAAATAAATTTTAAAAAATTTAATCACATATTTTATAATTAGACATTATTTAAACTATAAATATATTTATATATATTTAATTAAGAAAAAAACAAATATCAAAATTCTGATTTTCCTTGTATAAAGATTTTTCAATATCATACAAATTTTATTTCATAGATATATTTATATTTCAAAACATGTTTAATAATTGATTCGGAAAACAAATGTTGAATTTTGTTCAAAATTTTTACTTTGCAAAATTTTTATTGATGCAACCAACATTACATCATAACTCTTAACAGCTACATGAATTATACTTTGACAATTTTCTTAACAATATATAATCAGTTCCAGAATTTCTTTCATTTAATATAAAATTAAAATACTACATTTGCATAATTGCTCCTAATCTTAAAAGCTAATCTTAAAAATGTCCAATAAGTTTGAAATATCTCAGAAATATAGTTTAAAAAAGTTTAAGTGGATTCAGTAAATTTAAAAATTATAATTTATAATTTTTCTTCGTGCAGATAATTTCTGTATATTGAATATGTGAGAAATTATTCAAACTGAACGCGTAAATAAACGTTATTGGATTTTCTCAATACTATTAAAATTAAAATTAATAACGAAATGTCCATCGTAAAGTTAATAAGGTCATTTCTGAAGAAACAAATTTCAACTGTTTACTATTTCACAATCAAATTAGTATGTAGAACAAAAGTACGATTTAATCAAAAAATATAACTCCACCGAATAAACATTAAATGAAGCATAAAGCGAACACTGATCGATACTTCGCGCTAATAATAGTAACATGATTTAATGAATTCATTAGTCATGAAAAAAAGCAATAGAACTACCACGTCTCTTCCAAACATTTAAGATATCATCAAATGATTCACAGTACAATATAAGTAATATCAATCAAGTTGTTATTCCTCAATCGTTATACTCAAAAGTGTGATCTTATCAGTTTGTTATTCACAACCAAAATTAAACACGAAACTTTGCCTCACACATTAAAGATACCGTCAGAAAATATATTAAACTGGATAATCTAACGAATAGAATCGATGCTTCACTATCGACAGGGGCATGATGTAATCAATTAATCGACCACAATTGAATCTAAGCGAAACTACGCATTTTCAAATACATCGGCTAAATTATAATAACCTAGTTATTAATTAAAATGACAATTTTCAAATCTCGTCCAATTCAAGATCTCGTTTCGGGACAATCACGTGACAGAAGCACGCCTGATTTCGTTGGAAGAGTCGAGGCACCACGTGGTCATTATATACAAGACGTGGGTGTCTTCACGTGTGGTGTATTCCAGAATTTCGCGTTCTTTCGACCTGGCGGCAGATTCGAAGGTGGCGGCATCTCCTCTGTACCTCTCTCCTCCTTCATTCCCATTCATCTGACCCTCTTCCCCACCCTCACAACCGCCCCAACGGTACGCGGGGGAGGGGGAGCACACCAAACATTGAAAGAAGGCGCCACCGGTCCGAGGAGAGGTAACGCATATTCATGCGCCCGGCAAACATAAACACCATGCGTGATCCACGGCGGCGTATCCGCGTCGTCGACGGTGACCGGGTCGGGTTGAAACCATGGGGGCAAGAGTTATACCGATCCGGGTTTTAGAAAGCGACCGACGTCAACCGGCACTAAACACGAAACAGGATAACAGAAAACACAAGCTTTTCCTCGAGAACGAACGATCGCCGCGCGGTGTTATATATCAATGCACTGAGAACGAATGTGCTCCATTTTCTCCCTCTCGATCATCCTCTTTCTCCTTTCACATTCTCCCACGCATTCACGCATATATACATACATACATCTTCTCTTGCACCCGTTCTTTCTCTCTCTCTCTCTCTCTCACTCACTCACACACACTATCTCTCTCTCTCTCTTCCCTCCCTCTCTATCCGTTCGCTCTCGTGTGGTCGATCGTTGATGGTCGATGTAGTGAAACGTTTCGGGGTTGCCTGGGAGTTTGAAACACGAAGGCCGCCGAAGGTTCACGTGGTGGACAGTGACAACCTCCCGCATTCTCTTGCGTTTCCCTCTATTTCTCCGTACCCTGGATCGTTCGGCACCTCGGCGGGCGAGCCACTCGCTACGATCTCCTGGTTCTGGGACTCCATAACGACGCGCGGCGCACGAATACTCGTCGTCGTCGTCGTCGTCGCGAGACTCTCGGTGTGGAAGCGACGGCGGGGTTCGCTCGCGTATATCCGTCCGGAGCGGAGTGTCTGTTTCTGTTGTGCTAGGCTGGGGCTGCTTGTTGACGTTTGTTATGTTCGCAGTCGCGAACGGTGTTTCCTCGTCGCCGACGGCAGCGGCGAGCGTCGTCGCGATGAGAGGATGCTCGTGACGTACGTGAGGTGGTGGTGTCACGACGCGCACAAGATTTTTCTTTCGGAACTTGGGTCGGTTTGCGATGCTGCTCCCGTTATTCCCGAACTCTCTTCCTCGCGATTCACGTCTTTCCTCACGCTTTTCTTTCCCTCGCCTCTATTTATACCTTATCTTTCGTTCACTCCGCGGATCACGGAGAGTTGTTGGTTGATAATCGCGGCACTAGAATGAGGAGCGCGATTATTGACGGCGAAAAAGGAGGTGTCTTTGCGAATGGGTGTTTTGAGGGTCGGAGGATACCCGCGCTCGTCGCGCCGAATAACGACGATGACAACGACGATGACAGCGGCAGCGGTGAGGATGACGACGATAACAACGAGGAGGACGAGTACGAGGATGATGACGACGACGACTAATAGAGTGTACACGAGGGAAAAAGGCTGTCGACCTCTCGCTCGCTCTCTTGACTCTCCCGATATTACTCTTCCCTTGTCTCTTCGCCGATTGCTTTCTCCTTCTCTATCTCTCTCTCTCTCTCTCGCTCTCTCTCTCTCTCTTTCTCTCTCTCTCTCTCTTTCTTTCTCCGCACTCTCCTCACACTACCGACTACTAAAAACTAAGGAGAAGGTGAGAGGTTACGTGGCTGCGCGGTACGGCGACTACTGATGACGGGCGGCGGCCGGTACTCGGACGTGCGACGCGCTCTGCGAGAGGTTCGACGCGACACTGCGCTCTTGAGGTGGGGCGGGGGGAAGGGGCATCGCGGGGAGAGGGGTATGTGGTGGCGGTGGCGGCGGCGGTGGCGGCGGCGGCGGCGGTGGCGGCGGCGGCGGTGGTGGTGGCGGCAGCAGCAGCAGCAGCAGCGACGGCGGTGGTGGTGATGGTGGCGATCGTGGTGATGGTAACAGCGGCGGGGAACAGAGAGAATTATTGCGCTTGCGCCATCCCCACGCGGCGCGTTAGTCGCGAAGAGGAGAAGGAAACGCCACGACCGCGTACCCGCCTCCGGTCGCGGCCTGCTCGCCTGCTCGCTCGCTCGCTCGCTCGCGGTAGCGCTAACATTAACATTCGCGCTAGCGCTAACACGAGCGAGTGAGAAAAACTAGCGTGATATGCTCGAGAAAGGCCGACCACCCGCGCTCCTTCACTACTTGCTCCACTTCCTCGCCTCCGCGTGACCCGCGACCGAAAGCTCGAGCCTCGTGCGAGTAACGAATGGGTATATTGTGGAAAAAAAATTTTATCTATTTTTTCAATTTTATTTTATTTTATTTTTTTTTTCATGCTTTTTCCCCTTTTCTAAACGTATACCTTTTTTTCGTATAGTTGTCTGTTGAAGGATATTTAAAATGGAGGATATATGCCCATCAAGAATTGAAGAAGGAAATATAATGATCGAGTGTTATGTCATTATGCAAAACGGTAGAGATCTAATTAATTATTGTGTATAAGCAGTTAAAATCACGATGTGTTTTAGCATGATTAAAAATAGCCAAAGAATTGTGTACTATATGAAGCACACACACACATGCAGAGTCTCTTATTTTAACTAGAACACATCCAAATATTAGCTTATGCATTAAATGACTAATAATAATTAAAATTTTAAATTTTATCAGATGCATTTTTCCTCATAACTAATTATCATTCAAATCTATGTAAATATTGCTCGTTTTTTTTTTCATCCTAAGTATTCTTATCAAATATAACAAATATTTCATTCGACTATATTCTTTCGACTATACTGATTTATGCAGACTTTCATGCATGCATCATGTTTTATCGTTCAACCCAATTACGTGAAAAAAAAAGCGGAAGTGACTGTCGACCTACTGCCAGTATGGAAAGCAAGGGGTTAATAGTTGCTCGTTTCCCTCATTCGTGCACATCTCACTCCCTGTCGACTATTAATTTGCCTTTCAATGCAGTGCCGGTGATTATCGATTTGATCGGTCAAAACCTCCGGCAGAATTTTTGCTTGCTTCTAAAGTTTATCGGACCGCGCGTTTCCACTAGTTTTAATAGAATCGTCGAATGAGCGGTTCGTTTGTGCAACAAATCATTCCCAGTCGTTTGCCTTTCGATTTGACGTCGACCTAATCGAATTTTCTACGCGATCCTATGATTTACCCAACACTTGTGATAACGCGAATTTCTCGTGATAATTTGCAATCGGCAGTTCGTTGGCAAAATACTGAACAATGGCTTAATTAAATCGATACTGCACGTTAAACGTAAAAATTTTTTAGCGAATTCAATTCAATTAATTTCAAACAGCTTCAATAAAAACTTAAACTTAAAATATTAATTATAAAAACTCTTTAACGACGCGTCCGATTTGAGGATGTATGTAATTGCTTTAATAAATATATTTAAAATCTACATATAGCATACTTAAGATCTGTAGATATAGTTGCATACCGCATATAAATGTTTAATTTCATTCATTAAAAAAAGGGACCTAACTTGCAATGAAAAATTAGAGAAAGAACTTATAATAAATTTAATGCAATGTATGTAAAGATTTATATATAAATGTTTGAAACATGTTAATAAATGTGTCGCGTCAAATATCACGTATAGCAATTATCATGTTTACAGAACTAATTAAATTGACACAACTGTTATAAACGATTTTTGCGATTTGTATATATCTATTATTATATTCAGTAGCTCGTGAGAGAACGATGCATCGCAATATATGGAAGTGATAATTTAACACACGATATCGACACGTGTCACAATATGTTGTGTATCTCACGTGTTACTTTTATTACATTTATTACGCTTCTTAGAATCTTATATTTAATCATCATGACCAATTAATTATATAATTATTCATGACATGATTTCAATATGTGCATTATCGATGGTCAATTTATTGATCAAAACTTCATATATCGAATGCTATTTTTAAAATTGACCAATCAAATATCCATCAAAATTAATTAATTTAAAGAATGAAAATGATTACTCAAAAAATTATTCAAATATTATGTATAAAATTTAATAAATTATATGATTGATTTTATGTACATTCATATATATATATATATATATATATATATATATATATATATATACATATATGTGCGTGCGTATATACACACATTACAAAAGAATGGTTTAAAGTTTAAAGAATATGTCATCAACATTAAAGTATATAATTACCAAATATATTGATTTGATTATCTTATTTGATAATTTCTTATTGCAGTCTCGATTCTTATAACTGTTCAAACAGTCTGGCGTGGAAAATAGACTATATGTGCACACGTGTTCTTCTAAGATAGCAGGTTGTCAGTTGCGCGTTATACTATTCTAACGCAATATTTCTTCCCACAATCTCATCCGCGGAACAATAACTGATGATCGCATGAGATCCTCACACGCACGAAGAGAATTCTTTTTCTCCTTACTTTTCTCTATCAAAATGTTGGACAAGAATAGGAATCAAAATGAGCAAAATATAATTGGGCAGAATTGCCTCGATAACAATCTTTCTAATTGGAAATAGAATTCCTATATTACGTATTATAAAAGAGCTTATTTTATTATTAACATTTTCTTTTATTAAATATGTTTTAGAATTAAAAGATTTAGAATAAACAATGATATCTAAATTTATTTTGTTTTTAATTGAAAAAGATAAAAAAGTTAAGTAAGTTTTTGTTTTAAATGATATACCTATTTTAAAATTCTATCCATTATCGATAGTAAAATATCTAATTGTTGCATTAAAATTTAATAGAAAAATTCAATATATAATTATTTTTATACAATTTTTGATTGCCCCCTTCTATATATACTTTCTTTATATAGAAATGTTAATATACTTATTTTTAAATAATGCTAAAGAGATGCTAATCGAATTTATTAAAATGTAGGTCATCGAATTTTTATAACATTCATGCACAATTTTTTTGATATCTCAAATTTTTAAATCAATAAAAGTTTTATCGAATATACGTAAATTCGCGATTTTTTTGCGAACAACAGACGATTTACAAGAAATCAGTATTCACAATAAGTATGTAGCCACGAAGAAAAGACTTCTTAAGCTGAAACTGTCGCAGTCGTGACCGTCTGCACCTGATGATATATCCCGTGAGATCGTCGGAAACTTGCCAATCACTATTCGGGGATTTACGCTGTCCCAGAAGTGACCCTTCGCGGTAGCTCATACAGAATCGTCCAAAGCTATGGCATTGCTCGACTCTAGTGCATCCTTCGACCGAAAGTCCGTGATCGCGCTTACCACGACGGATTTACATACGAGGACAAAAGTGCATAAGAGAAAGAGAACGAGAATCTAAATTCTGTTGTACATATATGTATATACCTATATATAATAAGATTTAAATATTACACAAATAAAAATAAAATTTTGTGTAATAAATTCTAAATTTGATTCTTACAAGCCCTCCCCCATGTGACGTGTATGTGTGTGTGTGTAGTTATTTTTGACATATATTACTTTTTATCGTTTCTTTATTAAGTATATACAGCTTATTTTATAAACTTTGCAATAAATTTCGAAATAAATTTAAATTTATGTTTTGGTTTTTGTCTTTCGGAAAAAATTTAAAGCGAATCATATAATTATTTAATTAAATTTAAAGTGGATCATATTATTTTTAATGTTGAAAATTGAAACTTTAGAAAATTAAATTTCAGGGATGTCTTCATCATCATCTTAGACGCGTTATCTGTGTTCGAGATAAAATCATATTTCTCCAGTGCTGACAAGAGCTTTATGTCGCCCCGAGCCAAAAAACGATTTTGAGATATTCACGTGCTCGTGAATGCGAAATAAAGGATGCCATGAAGATGATAGTGCCGTAAGCGGACCGTAAGAACGTCGATCAAATTTTTATCGACTTTCTGCGCCTCGTCATACTTTACTTTGCACATAGCCTCCTGTTATACGGATAGTTACGTCAACACTATCAGAGCAAATCTATTTCAAATTGATTTCAAAATACGCTAAGAAACTGTTAATAACTTTGAAAAATACAACAAAGAAATTGAAACACTAACGTTCAGCCATCAAATATAAAATAGAAAATAAAAATAGGCATGTAGAATATAGACTTATTAATTAACAATAATGATATTTGCAAAACTAATTGTAAGATATTAGTTATTTCATTGTTTTTATATCCAGCATATCTATCTTTATGTTCAAACCTGTATTAGGTTGTTTTAGAGCTCTAGATAATTAGTTATTATTATATTTTTAACACTTCCACAAAAATAAAAAAAAGATTTCCTTTTAAGAAATATAAATTCTGTGATTTTTTTCAAATTGTTTACACAGCATAACAATTTAATTAAAAAAATTAATATTTTATTCTCTGACAATTCTTTGCCACAAATTCTAAGTTCTAAAGAGAGATTTATGATATTTTATCGGTTTCATTCTACAATCGTTCCACAATAGAACTTTTGCCACACATTTTATATCACATCGTAACGCGTCAGAAAGAATCGAGCAGTGAAACATGTAACGAATGTATGAACAAACAAAACGAGCTTCAATCCGTCGCTTTCCATATCCGCCTTAAAATAACATAGTGGGGAAGATTCGTCAATGCGAATCACTGTTGACTAATAAACTCCGCTGTCAAATGGCAGTCATGGTATTTTTTGCGTTCGGCAAGGCGGAGGTGGAAAACGCAGCATAAGAGAACGAGAGTGACAAAATTCGACGG